CTTCTCGGTAGCACTGGGTGTCATCCAAATTATTACTGTCGAGTCATTTAGGAAGCAGTTCTGCTCTGCCTTGGCTCCGCTGCTCGCCTCCTTGCCCCACTTTCTCTAAGAGGTTTAAAATCTGGTAGAATGGAGAGACAGGGCCCGAGAGAACTGGAGAGAACTAGGGTTGAAGCCTGGTGGGCTCGCCCTCAACGCCCCCAGGAGTTCCCTGCTTCACACAGAAAGAGGAGGCGTCTTGGCCTCCGGCCTTGACTGGGTCAGAAGGCACGAGGCAGGGTGAGCTTTGCGGAACTGACAAATCGTGTGACCAGTGACCCACTTCAGAGCGCCTCTCACCCTGAGAGTGGATGCTCCTGGGCATTGTGCGTGGTGGGTTCCAGAAAGCTTATCTTTCCAGTGTCCCTGGGGAATCACTTTAGAAACAGTGTTAACCATTTTGGAAAGAGCTGTTTTGTGAATTTCCACCTAGAGGTGTGAAACTGGCAGCAGTCTGTTGGGAGAATCCCTGAGAACTTGAGCAGGCCGCTCAAAGTAGTGCTCACACTTTGGTGTTTGAAATGTGGGATGGGCAATGAGGGTCTTGGCGGACTCTGGGACCCAGTGCTATTTTTATTCTTTGCACGCCTCCACACTCCTTGTCTGTTTTCCCTCCAAATGCATATAGTTGTCAACTGTTACCTTTGCATCTCGGTTTGCCTTGAGCTGCTCTCAAGATGAGGGTTCCAGAATTAGGGCCAGGCACAATTTTAGGCTTTTTGGATCACATAGTCTGTGTTGCAGCTCCTCACCTCTGCCACTGTAGCAGGAAAGGAACCACAGACCATGTGTAAGCAAAAGGCTGTGGCAGTGAGTTCCAATAAAACTTTATTCACAAAAATGGGCGGTGGACCACATCGGGTCTGTGAGCCATAGTCTGTTGACCTCTGTTCTTGGTTTTAATTTCCTCCTCCCCCACCCCACCCCTGTTTTGAATCTCAAGGACAGAAGTGAAATATGAAAAAGGCAAGTTGTTGATCAGTGTTGCCACTTTGGGACTTGCCTCATTTTTAACGTTTCAGAAAGTACACTTTGTCTTTATAGGTTAGGTTATTTAAATTGAAAACAGCTGTGAAGGCAAGGCTCCTCAAGAACCTTTGTGTGTCTGCTGCCATGAAACAGTAATTTTTAATGTACTGTCTTTTTGTTTATTAGATACAGAGCTTAGTGGAGGAATAATTCAGGAAGCACTTTGCAACATACAGTGCCAGGCATGGTGTAATAAATGCTTCTTGCTGGAATGAACAAACATGTATCATCTAGAGGTGATTCTCCATTGCATATGGATTCTATACATACAGTAACACGGATACAGTTCCTTAATAGGAAGGTCTCAGAGTCCTCCTCCACCTTTCTGCTCCAACTCGGACCCTGCCCAAGTCAGAGGCAGGCCGTGGGACCAAGAGTGACACAGTGACCAAGGAGCTCTAGTCATTCTATTCATCCTGTCTTAGTAACTACCCCCTTCTAGCTGTTTGTGCTACATCTTGGTTTCTCCAGGCCATTGTCACAGTGGTCTTTAGGGAGTGGCAGGGAAGCCTGGTATGCTCCTGTCCTTGGGGTTGCAGAGAGCTGGACATGACTGAGCAACTAAACGAGAAGAAGAATGGGGAACAGCTGGCCCCTGGGTCTGAGGATGCCTGTGAAGAGTGTCAATGTCTCCGGGGTACACTAATGTTCTGCCAGGAGCTTGTGTTAATTAATTTGTATTGGAGTACAACGTTGTGTTAGTTCCTACGGTACAGCAAAGTGGATCAGGTCTATGTATACATATATCCACTCTCTTTTGGAGTTCCTTCCCATTTAGGTCAGAGCAGAGTTCCTGTGGTATACAGTTGGTTCTCATTAGTTATCTATTTTATATACAGTATTAATAGTGTATATATGTTGATCCCAACCTCCCAAAGCACCTCTTCTTTTCCTGCTTGGTGTGTATACATTGGTTCTCTATTTCTATTTTGCAAAGAAGAGAATCTATACCATCTTTATAGATTTCACATATATGTGTTAATATGACATTTCTCATATGTGTGAAGGAAAGAGAGGAGGGAGACAAGAAGTCACAGTGAGACCTGAGTGTAACTTGGGAACTTTGTGCACCATTCTTTTTTACATTTATTATTTTATTGGAGGATAACTGCTTTACAAATGTGGATCACCATAGTTATACAATGTCTCCCCACCTGTCTAGGTCGTCACAGGTTACCAGGCACTTATAATGTGTCCACCAAGTCAGTTTCTGTTCTTTGTATTCCTGCCCTACAAATAGGTTCATCTGTACCTTTTTCTAAATCCGACATATATGCATTAATATGATTTTTTATGGCTGAATAATATTCCATTATATATATTTGTAACATATTTTTATCCATTAAAAAATGGCCCTTTCCCCCCCTCACTCTGGGGGACCACAGATGAATCAGGTAGTTCCTGAGAGCCCAGGCAGAATAGTTACATAGAAGAGAGAGATGCAAGTGTCTGTCTTTTCTTTCTGTTCCTTAAAATCTCACTAAATAACCCAAGTTGGAGTCTCAGGCAGTGTGGTTGTGTTTCAAGGCTGAAGAGCTCCACTGTGCTTACAAGTCTGGCAGACACTTGCAGGAATAGTTGGACAGTCAAAACTACATCACAAAGATACCAATCACAGAGCAGACACAAGTAAGTCTTCAGGGTAAAGGGGATGGGCGTGCAGGGATGAGGACCAAGGGAGGAGAGGTGAAGAGAGGCGGGACAGAAGAGACTGAAACGAAGGACACTGCTGCTTCAGCCAACCTGCATGCTTCCAGAAAGGGTCAGTGAAGGAGGGAGCAAGCACCCTGTCCACTGCGCACCGAGGTGATACTTGTGTGTTGTCTGTGGGTCCCCAGCCTGTGTGGGGGGGTCACCCATGTATAGAAATCTGCCGCTTCAGCCTGTTGCCAGTGGGACTTTTCTTGGCGGTAGGAAATAAAGGTGAGAATCTGAGTTTCCATCTACTTACTACACAAGATGAGGTCTGAACCTCTGTCATCAATCTCTGGTCAGGGAGAGCCTCCTGCCACTGCTGGCCAGAGCGGGCCGGTCTCACAGACTTGCAAGTGGTGATGCTGGACTGCCCCCGTCTGCGCTCTCAGGAGGCAAGGGGAGCGAGAGAAGTAGAGAGTTAAGGGCAGGGAGAGGATAAAGGGGAGTGGGGAGCATTGCCTGAATAAGGGTCCTGAAGGGTCCTGAGGCCCCAGGAAGGCAGACTTACGAAACGTGGTGATGCTAAAACCAGAGGTTCAGGTGGCCTCTTTGCTTCCCCGTGGGTGACGTGTTCAGTGGTCCCAGGGGTGCCCAGAAACTCTCCCCAGAAGGGGAGACACTGAGCGCCACAAGTGTGTTACCAACCAGGGTTCTTGGCCTCCTTAATCAACAGGAATTGGTCAGAGGCCTGGAGAGAAGTGGGAGGGAGGACAAACAAGTTCCCTTGCTTGCCTGCTCCTCATGGTGGTTGTGATTTGTATTTTCCTGATGATTAGTGATGTCCAGCACCTTCCACATACCAGTGGGCCACCTGTATGTCTTCTTTGGAGAAATGCCCGAGAGGGTCTGGTGAAACTCATGGATCATTGCAGTGTGCATAGCCAGGACTGGTGTCTTTTTTAATGCTTCAAGATTAACAATAGTATATTAACATTTTCAAACATACAAATTGCATATGCAGGGAAACATCGGTTCTGTGGACACAACAGAATACTAGATAGAGACAGGCAAGCAATCAGAAGGAGGTGTGCAGAGATGCATGGGTGGGCAAGACTCCTCCTGGGTCCCCTGGTGGATCCCATAGTTCTAAAGTCACTTTTGTGCATGGATAGATGCCAATTTTTTGCTGGGGCAGGGGAAAGGGATGTCTTATGTGGTCATGACGCTAGTATCATTCTTCAGCCTTCTTAAACAGTGTTTGTTGTTTTTTGTGTGTGTTTATATATAATACATATTACAATTACTATATTATTTTATTATTTATCAGAATTATTCTAGATGATATATGTATTTTTGCACATGTGGGAGGTTTCTATCAGATGAAGCCTCAGAATGACTAGATCAAAGGCTATATGCAGTTTTCATTTTGATACAGTCAGATTGTTCTTTACAGAAGTTTACTCTCCACCTGCAGTATATGAGAATGCCTATTTCCCCAAATACGGACTCTGATTTTACCAAAGGGTAAAATCAAAATTTCATTTTGTTAAATCAATCCATTGTGGACCAACTTTGCATTTACCTTATTAACAGTAGGGTTAAGCCTTTCCTATGTTAAAGAGAGAATCATATATTACCTTTCCTGTAGATTATCCATATTCTCTGTGCATTTTTCTGTTTTAGGTTTTGGTCTTTTGAGTCGCTAGAGCTGTCCTTTTTGCTAGAGTGACTAGAATTTTTTTTTCCTATAACAAACCAAAAGGGCTTAGGTAAGAAACAACTCGATTTTTCAAAAGAGGTGCTTACTTGCGGTCTATCCCACAGCTACTAGAAAGATTTCCAGAATGAGGGTATTTGCACCTTGGTGCCAGCAAAGCTTTTTGGTGGAAATACCCTGAAGGCCCTCTGTGGACCAAGTTTCCCTAGGTGATCCTCAAGCTTTAGCTTTCCTGGAAAATGTTCTAGACAGATTCGAACTGGACAGGTAAAAGTGCTGACTGAGGACTGCTCCAACAGGGGAGGGACAGGATGCAAATGGATAAGCACATAAGACAAACCATGGAGCATCTTTTTACAGCACAATTATCTAGGTACCTGACACAGAAAGCAAAAGAGGGGCTCTGCAGTGGGGTCCACAGGGTGGAAGCAAAAAGCGGGTATGAGGGCTGGCCTTGTTCCGGGGTCAGGCCATTAGTGACTGGAGGTCTGTGCCTCGGGGCTGGCAACCCCAGAAAGCTTACCTGGGGCGGTTTCTGAAACTTCCCTGCCTCTCTCTCCCCCCCGCGTTTCCTCCCCAGCTCATGTGTTCCTCGGTGCAGAAGGCCCTGTTTGAGGAGGAGGACCACGTCAAGAAGCTGCAGCAGAAGGTCGCCACCCTGGAGAAGCGGAACAAGCAGCTGCGGGAGCGGGTGAAGAAGGTCAAGCGGTCCCTGCGGCAGGCGCGGAAGAACGGCCGCCACCTGGAGCTGCTGAACCGCAAGCTGAGCGAGAAGCTGGCGGCAGCGGCGGGCGCGCTCCCGCACATCAACGCGCTGGGCCGCGAGCCCGCGGGTGCCCCCTACCTGCGGGGTTAGCGGGCACGGAGCGCCGGCCTCCCCTGGTCCCGGGCGGGGCCCCTTCCAGGGAGTGGAAAGGGAGGCAGGACTTGTACACGCACATAGCTCAAGAACCCTCGTAGATGACGTTTTTTACTCTGCATTTGGTAGCGGCTACTGGGTTTACAGGGCAAGTCTCCTGTCTCCTTGGCGGCCCGATTCCTGCTCTCCTGTGTGCCTGGGGGGCTGACCCTGGCATCGAGGAGCAGCTGGGAAAGTGCACTTATTAGGGAAAGAACATTTCAGAATCTCTCTGGGGGCACAAGGACCCAAGGGGTTCGGCCTCCCTTTTCAAGGAAAGGCAGTGTGGTCTCAGTTCTGAGTGGCAGGACCACCCTAAGCTTGGAGGAGTGTTGAGAAGCAAGTGGAGGCACCTTCTGGTGTCATTAAGACAATGAGCCCGTCACAGGTCAGGGAATGGAGCTGGGAGTCGGGTGGCAGGTAATTGAGTAGGGTGAACAATACCTGCTATCCAACAGTAGCTGCCCAGCATCCCTGGAGACTCCCGTGGGCCACTTCAACCTAAAGGGGAACTGCCTTTATGGGCCTGTCCTGTTTCATCACAGCACATTTCTAAGTTGGAAGAGCCTGAACTTCCATGGCTGAATTCGAGGTGAGCTGACCCAACATGCTGTGAACTTCTGTCGTGCAAAGACATTTCTTTACCTACCGGGGCCTGGGGACCTTGCCTCGTTACTGTCTGTGCTCTGCTCGTGAAAGGGCTTGTTGCAGGCCTCCCGATCCTGGCTTCTTTACACAAATGCTTTCCCCCTAACTTGACGGTCCAGAGAGACCCCAGCAGTAGTGCGTCTGTGTTGGCCCACTTCTCACCGCGGTAGATTCTGTGTATGGTCACTTCACCTTCTTTGGGAAGAAACCTTGAGCGAGAGAGGTATTGTGAATATCTTTTACTTAGTTTTTGCCGTGCTAACACTTGAGCCCTTGACTTATCTACATGTGATCAGATCCCAGGTGTGTGATTAAGTAGTCACCCACCCCTTGGTTATCTAGACCAAGCACTTTCCCTTCCCTGCCCCGTAACCACCCCAGATATAGGAGGGCCCGATAATGCCATCCTCTCCACGGGAAATGCTCAGATTTCCATCCACTGCCTTTAGAAAAATCATGTCCTCCTTGCTCTCGGAGACTGTCCAGGGCATGAGCCTTGTGTCCCTTGGTGGCAGGCGATGGCCTCAGGGGAGAAGCTGATGTCCTGGTCTGCACCACAGGGGGGCTTCTCAACGGCTCTTCACTGCCACGCTTCTGCCAGCACTTTATTAGTCGTAGTCTTCACAGTCTGGTACAACAGGAGGTGCCTCTTCTGGTTTCTTCTTTCCAGGGACGTTGCACCCTGGGAATGTCTGCAGGAAACCCTGCAGTACTGCCACCCATGGGTGATTCACAGCCAGCGTCTGAAGAACTGTGGAAGCTGGGTCTCTTCAGATGCGTTATGTTCTGCCTTTTCAATAAAGATGAGCAGTAGTTCAGCCACAGCAGCAAAGTGATGTGTGTTTCTTCTGGAGCAGGGGGACTGCGAGATTTCCAGCTTGAGCCTGGAAAGGCCATTTCTATCCTCTGGGGTAAGCACCTGCGGGTCACACCTAGGATAAAGGGGAGACTGTCCACCTTTGCTGTCTCCTGGGTTCCCATCTTCCCACACACCTGCAGCTGAGCCGTGGGATCCTGGCCTCACCTCATGAGGGACATGCAGCTTCATTAATCAATGCCTTCAAAAGTACACTCAGATCTAAGCCCATGGGAACTCCCCAAGTCCCCATTATCTGCTGCGCTGTCATCTTACAGCAGCCCTTGCCACTAGCTCATTGAATGAGTAGGAATTGTTCACACAGGAAAAACCCAAGAACTGCTCAGAACTTCACACACTTTAGCCAACCTATCACAGCACGGTCTCTGAGCCATGGGGTTTTGTTCCACTTGGTGCGATTTTGCCAAAGTCATATAATAAGCAGGAGGTCAATAGATTGTAGCATCTTTTAAACCCGTGTCCCCAGGAGTCACAGACTCATGGCATATGGCCCATGCCTTCTGTGGGGTGAGGCTTCTGTGTCTGAAGGTAACCCTCACTGGACTACGGGTCTGGGCCACTGTCACACACCACCCCCACACCCCTCCCCATCCTCATGTATTTAAACACACATCACACATTTGTGGTACCTGCTCAGCAGCAGAAGTTAACAGGGATTCCTGCTTCTGTAGTGCGAGTCTCCATCTTCCTCAAGGGAGAGAGAAGGTGAACTCCGACCACATGACTACAGATCAGTTGTTAGCTCAGCAATGTCCACATTCTACGATGGTTTAAAAAAAAAAACAACTAAGTACCCAGCGTGGTTTAGACTCTTGCACACACATCTCATTTAATATTCCTAATAATTTCATCAATAGTGATTCTGATCACCATTCTCCAGGAGGAATCTGGGGCTTCACGAGATTACACTGCCCACTGTACACACTAGGACAGGTGGCCCGTCAAGGCTCCAAGTCCATCTTCCTTTCTCTGTTTGCACGTGCTCACCTGCAGGATGGGGATGGCTTCACTCCTGCCATAAAGGCTGTCAAGAGGGTTGAAATTACTCCTAAAAATGCTCAGCATGATGCCTGAAAGCCCACATGCACTCAATCGGTATAATACAAATCTTCACTGTGAGTGTTAAGTACTCACCAGAAGGGCCCAATGCATGTCATAAGGAAGAGGATTAGTGGGATTCCACGTGATCTTCTCATCACCTTTCTAAGCACTGTACAATATTCCAGCTCTTTTCCTTTCTTGTTTCTGAAACGGCTACTTTTCTTTCACAATCAGTAGTTGGTTGTTCCTCTAAATTTACCATGAAAATATAGTCCATCAGAAGTGTGTTTCCTCCCCTTCCTAGGATCACACAACCTGAACTCAAGACTTCAAGTTTTATTCAGTGGATAGGCTGAGACCTAAGCCTGGGAAGTGCCTCTCAGGTAGCTCTGAAGGGCTGTTCCAAAGAGGTAAGGGAGGAGCCAGAACACATGAGTTTTTAAAAAACAAAACCAGATAGACCATCAAAAGATTACTGTTAGTTAAGGAAAAACCAGACATCTCAAGTTAAGGAACTTCCTGCTTATCTAAGTATGGGAAGATAGAAGAGTCTGGGCTCACTGAAATCACTCCTTTGATAAGCATCGTACCTGTCTAGGGCCAGCATCTTATTTCTCTCTATCCTGAGTCCCCTCAGGGTGCATAGTCAGCTGCTGCAGTGGCTGCTGGCTTGTCGGCCACACCATCCTTTGTTTACTGACATGGCAGGGGACATTCTTCATCCACACTAGCGTGTCATTATCTAGTTTGCCCCGCTTCTCTCCTCCCTCCCAACTCAAAGGAAGAAACATCACATCCCTCTGGCCCACATCCAGGGTCAAATCCTTTCTCCCGAGTCCATATTGCTCCTCTCAAAACCTGGCTCCACCAATGTTCCCTCATCGTGTGTGTGTTGCCTTTTTTATTAAGTAATTTTATACAACAAATTGAAAGTCATGTCAAACATAAATGCAGTGCAGACAAACTGTTCATGTGTAAACAGAGAATGAATGCATACAAAATTTGCACAATATCATGAGCCCTAGTGAAGGCGCAGAAGCTAAAAGACTTGAGGCCAAGTAATGCCTTTGAACTAGGTTTTCAGGTAAAATATAGGATTCAGTATTTTATAAGTGAACAAAAAGTATTTTTAGAACTAGTATGACCCAAATATTGTACAGGACCTACCCTACAGAATTCATTCATTGTTCATTTGTTATTGAAGTTTAACTGGGCATCCTGTATTTTTCTTTGCTAAACTTGGCAACTCCACTCTGAGCTTTAGTGTATTTTCACTGATAAGATAATATTACCTAGATAGCTCATCTGGCTGTTAAGATACTCAAACGGGGTACAATGATAGCATGTCATGAATCTTTTTTGACTTAAACATATTCAGCTCTATTCCTATCTGCTGATGTCTCCAAAGAAGAGACAGTCAGAGAGCGAGAAGGAAACAGAGACTAAGACATGGAGGGGAGACGTGCAATAGCAGGGACCACCACCGAGCCCTCTGCTGCCTGAGCACATGCCCGGGGTGACAGTGAGACGGGAGGCTGCTCTTGCTCTGCCCGCTGTCTCCCTGATGCTGCTTCTCATCATGTGAACACCTGGTGGTTCAAGAGTGTGACTCTAGTGTTAAAAGATACTTTTAAAATGTATTTCCTAATTGGAGTATACTTGCTTTACGATGTTCTAGCGCACAACTGCGTGGATCAGCGGTGGGTACACACACATCCCCTCCCTCTGGAGCCACCCTCCCACCCCTCTAGGTCGTCACAGACCACCGAGCTGAGTGCCCTGTGCTGAGCAGGAGCGTCCCGCTAGCTTCTGTTTTACACATGGTAGCGTCTATATGTCAGTCCCAATCTCCCACTTCATCCCACCCTCTCCTTTCCCTCCATGTCCAGAGTCCATTCTCTACATCTGTGTCTCTATTCTTACCCTGCAAATAGGTTCATCAGTACCATTTTCTTGATTCTATATACATGTGTGAAAACACAATATGTTTTTCTCTTCTGACTTCACTCTGTATGACATACTCTAGCTTCATCCGCATCACTAAAAATGACCCAGTTTCATTCCTTTTTATGGCTATTCAGAAACAGTTTAGAAAGGATCGAGGCTGTCTTTAAGGACACTGAAGGCCCCTGGACTCCCTGCCTCCAGGGGACACACCAAATGGACAGCGACACAGAGCAACTCGCTCTGAAGAAACTCACTCACTGGTTAAGCACCTCTTACAAAATGAGGGACCGAGATAATGCCTATGTCGAAATGAGTAGGAAAGGCTGAGACACACTCTTGCTAAAACCCCAGCGGTGGCACAGAGCCCTACAGTTGAAAGGGAATAGCCAAATGCCAGCTTCTCCTTGAGGGATGAAGGGTCTGGACCCCATAGTTACAACTCCAGGTTTTAAGATTCCCACCCAAAGGCCTCCAGACAGGTTCCTAGCTCTAAAAGTCAATGGGGTTTGAATCCACCAGTTCCACAGACAACGGGAAGCAAAGCAGCAGTTGTTAAAGGCACAAGCACTCACCTCAGCAATCCCCTCAAGGTCAGCGCAGATCAAGCCCACCTCCCAGTCTCCCTCTGGATGGGGTCTACTTGGATACTTTAAATGCTGCTGCCTGAGGGTCAGGCCTCTCTAAGTGAGCACCTATCTAGGGGCTGACTGCGATCCTCCCCAAAGGTACCACCCCTGCCTGCTCTCTCTAGCCTGCTCTCTCTGTCCTACTCCAAGTTGCCAGGGCCCTCCCTGAAAGAAACCTGTACACACATCTGCACCCCAGTCTTTGTGGCTACTGGTAGCAGATGGGTCCCCAGATCAGCCGTCTATGACAGCCACCAGGGCGTGCCTTCGGAAGCCAGAGAGGACAGCATAGGCGGTTTTAAACGGGACATCCTCCTCCCCCTAGGGCTTAGCACAGAGAAGGCATACAGAAATGCTCAACTCCCAGCCCCGTCCTGAAAAGAGTCTATTTGTCTACTTCTAAAGCTTCTACTACCCACTCCATATTCTTGGGCATCTCTGGTGGTTCAGACGGTAAAGAATCCACCTGAAATGCAGGAGACCTGGGTTCGACCCCTGGGTTGGGAAGATCCCCTGGAGGAGGGCATGGCAACCTACTCCAGTGTTCTTGCCTGGAGAATCCCATGGACGGTCCACCAGGGTTTGCAAAGAGTCAGACACGACTGAGCAACTAAGCTCAAAGCTTCTGCCTGAGGGTCAGCCTTCTAATGTGTTCTGCACCGAGGGGCGGACTGTGATCCTCCCTTAAGGGCAGGGATGCCAGCAGACACCTCTCCCTCTAGTCTGTCCCGGGTTGCTAGTTATCTCCCTGGAAGGAGCCTGGACACATGTCTCTGCCCCAGCTTTTGTGGCTGCCTCCTCAGGGATAGGTACCCAAGCTGCTTGGTTCTGACAGCAACAGGACTTAGATTCATGGAGTGAACAAAGATGTTCTTAACACATTATTGACCAAAGGCATATTAATACATCTTCTGTCACCCAAACGTTATTCATTATACAACTTATGACTGTCGTTATTATTCACATTTTGTGCTGTGAGGTTTTTGTTCCTACCTTACGTATATTATAAATGCAAGTTAATAATACTATAAAATTTTCAAAAATGATGCATCACCAAATTTTGAGTGAAGAAGAATTTTTTGGTCAATTTTATGCAGATACTTTCTCTTGATTGTCTGAGCAACATATACCTTAGTGTCTCAGGAGAAGATTGGAGAAGGAAATGGCAACCCACTCCAGTATTCTTGCCTGGAGAATTCCATGGACAGAGGAGCCTGGCAGACTTCAGCCCATGCGGTCACAAAGAGTCAGACACGACTAAGTGGCTAAGACAGAAGAAGACAGTCCTTTAGGACTTCTCTGGTGGTCCAGTGGTTAAGAATCTGCCAGCCAGTGCCGGGGAGATGGGTTCAATCCCTAGTCAGGGGAGATTCCATGTCACACGGCAACTAAGCCTGTGTGCCACAACTACTGAGCCCATGCGTCTAGAGCCTGTGCTCAAGCAATGAGAAGCCCGCATACTGCAATTAGAGAAAAGCACCCCCTGCTCTCCACAACTAGAGAAAGCCCACACACAGCAAGGAAGATCCAGTGCAACCAAAAATAAATTATAAAAAAGATGATATTCTTCAGGTATAGTTATCACTCAGATGATTTGAACATTAGACCAACAAAAAGACAAAAAGCCTTAGTGACTGACTCTGACACAGAAAGTGAAAATGAAACTCATGGTGTTGGAGGATGTTCCTCTGCTTCTGCAGAAGAGTGGACTGAAGACATTTCATGAAAATTAGAACACTTTATAGGTGTGTCAGATATAATGACTGAATGTATTAACCTGCAAAGCGTTACTGAAATAACAGAATTAATTTTGGGTAACTGCTTTTTGGAGTTAGTCGCTTCTCAAACTTTTATCACCAACAGAATGAAAAACCACGTAAAAAGTATGATAAAGCTTTAAAATGGACTCATGTACCCAACAGTGACATAAATTTCTTTTAAAGAAATTTCTTGAATTCATAATTTTGATGGACAAATAAGAAAGTCACACTGGACCCATTATTTGAAACACCTATCTTTCCCAAGGTGATGATGAGAAGAAAGTTTGAACAAATAATGACATTTCTTCACTTTAACAGTAACTCGGAAACTCCACTCTCTGAAGATAGACTTTTGTAACTTAACACACTTTGGGGTTATTCTGACAATTCCTCATGGCGGCAGTGGTTGGGTGCGGTGCTATAGCGACTGAGTCGCTGCTAACACGGCAGCCACGCGTTGAGCTCCAGTCCGGCCTCCGTGTGCCCCCTGGGCTCCAGACCCCTGATGCTGCCCGGGCGCTGAGCCCGCTCTGGCCGGGACAATGGTGAAGTATTTCCTGGGCCAGAGCGTGCTCCGGAGCTCCTGGGACCAAGTGATCGCGGCCTTCTGGCAGCGGTACCCGAATCCCTATGGCAAAGATGTCTCAATGGAAGACAGTGCGACCTCTGACCAGAAGCTTCTGTCCCGACAACTCCTGACCAAGACGAACAGGATGCCCCCCTGGGCTGAGAGACTGTTTCCTGCCAATGTTGCTCACTCAGAGTACATCCTGGAGGATTCTACTGTGGCCCCAGAAAACCAGACCAGGACCACCTTCACCTGGAACATCAACCACGCCCGGCTGATGGTGGTGGAGGAACGATGTGTTTACCGTGCAAACTGATAACAGCGGCTGGACCAAAATCCGCCAGGAAGCCTGGGTCTCCTCTAGCTTATCTGGCGTCTCCAGAGCTGTTCAGGAATTTGGTCTCGTGCAGTTCAAAAGCAACGTGACCAAGACTATGAAGGGTTTTGAATACACCTTGGCCAAGCTGCAAGGTGAGGTCCCTCCCAAAACCCTTGTTGAAACAGCCAAGGAAGCCAAGGAGAAGGCCACCGAGACAGCACTGGCAGCTACAGAGAAGGCCAAGGACCCTGCCGGCAAGGCAGCCAACGAGCAGCAGCAGCAGTTCGTGTGGCCAGCCCAGGCCCCAGACAGCAGCCTAGCAGACTACCGGCTCCAGTCCCTGTGGTCCCCCTCCTGTGCTTTATTATTAGAAGCCAGCTTCCAGCCCTGTCGCCTGTCTGGGTGGTGGGCTGGGGGTAGGTGTGCTGCTTGGCATCTCCAGCACAGCCGGCTGGTCACCCATGTCTGAGCTGGGCCTCCTTACTCCTGCATCAGGTGGCTGAGGACAGAGGCGCAGTGACTTGCCTGGGGTCACGGCATCCAGGTGAAGTGGTCATAAATGCTAGACCATAAGCTCCATGAGAGCAGGGACCATTGTTTTATCCTTTGATGTGTCCCAAGTATCTGAAACAAAATCTTGCGTGTAAAGGCACTCAATAAGTACTTGTTGAATTCAACCGGAAAAGAAAAAAAAAACACTTTGGGGTTATTTTCTACCAAAATTTCAATTGATCTATATACCCAAACAGAGCTATCACTAAATGAGGCAATGATAAGGTGAAGAGGACAACTCAGATTCAAAACCTGTAAGCCAGAAAACTTACAAAATATGGAATTTTGGTCAGGATGGTTAGCATAAGTGAAATGGGATATATATATGCCACCTTGAGATTTACATGTGTGAAGGAAGGAAACCACAAGAAACAATATCATCGGTCCTACAACCTTATCTTGGCTCATGGCACCGTGGTTACCAAGGTAATTATTACAACAGCGTGTCCACATCTGAAATATTGTTGAAAAATAAATCCAGAGTTTGTAGGACTATAAGAGAGAACCGCAGTCTACTAAACCAAATTAAAGGTAAAATCTAAAAACCTACAGAGTGGAAAATGACATTCTTCCAGAAGAAGGGTTTCCTCGATGGCTCAGCAGATAAGAGTTGGCCTGCAATGCAGGACACACAAGAGATAGCAGGTCTGATCATGGGTCAGGAAGATAGCCTAGATAAGGAAATGGTAACCCACTCCAGTATTCTTGCTGGAAAAATCCCACAGAGGATCATGATGGGTTACAGTCCAAGAGGTCACAAAGAGGTGAACATGGTTGAGTGACTAAGCACAACACACAGAAAGGAAAAGTGATTCTTCTTATATGGAAAGACAAAAGGCTAATCTACATGGTGACAACTATAGATAACACCTCCACACACCTCCATCTACAGGAAAGGAAGACAGGAGGACTGGCCATCAGATAACTAAGCCCACTTACATATTAGAGTATAATAAATATATGAAAGGAGTTGATCAACCTGATTAATATCTGGCAAGCTTCAGTATCTTCTGGAAAACTCGAAAATGGGCTTCTATTTGAGTAATTTTGGTTTATTCGATGGATTTAAAATTTATTGTAGCCTGAATGCATGTAATAAAATGATTTACAAGCAATTTTTGTTACCAGTAGCCACTGACCATTCTGGTGAATGCCAAAGAATGTTCAAGCTACCGCACAATTGCAATAATCTCACAAGCTAGCAAAGTAATGTGCAAAATTCTCCAAGCAAGGCTTCAACAGTGTGTGAACCAAGAACTTCCAGATGTTCAAGCTGGATTTAGAAAAGGCAGAGGTACCAGAAATCAAATTGCCAACATCTGTTGGATCATAGAAAAAGCAAGAGAAGGCCAAAAAAATATCTACTTCTGCCTCACTGACTACACTAAAGCCTTTGACTGTGTGGATCACAGCAAACTGTGGAAATTCTTCAAGAGATGGGAATTCCAAACCACCTTACCTGCTTCCTGAGAAATCTGTATGCAGGTCAAGAAGCATGAGTTAGTACCAGACATGGAACCACAGACTGGTTCCAAATTGGGAAAGGAGTACATCAAGGATTATTTAACTTATATGCAGTTAAATAACTTATATGCTTATTTAACTTATATGCAGAGTACATCATGAGAAATGCTGGGCTGGATGAAGCACAAGCTGGAACCAAGATTTCTGGGAGAAAAATCAGTAACCTCAGGTATGCAAATGCACCACCCTTATGGCAGAAAGCAAAGAGGAACTAAACAGCCTCTTGATGAAAGTGAAAGAGGAGAGTGAAAAAGCTGACTGAAAACTCAACATTCAAAAAACAAAGATCATGGCATCTGGTCCCATCATTTCATCGCAAAAAGATGGGGAAACAATGGAAACAGTGACAGACTTTATTTTCTTGGGCTCCAAAACCACTGCAGATGGTGACTGCAGCCATTAAATTAAGGCGCTTGCTCCTTGGAAGAAAATTTATGACCAATCTAGACAGCATATTAAAAACAGAGACATTACTATGCCAACCAAGGTCTGTCTAGTCAAAGCTATGGTTTTTCCAGTAGTCATGTATGGATGTAAGAGTTGGACAATAAAGAAAGCTGAGCACTGAAGAATTGATGCTTTTCAACTGTGGTGTTGGAAAAGACTCTTGAGAGTCCCTTGGACTGCAAAGAGATCAAAGCAGTCAATCGTAAAGGAAATCAGTCCTGAATATTCATTGGAAGGACTGAAGCTGAAGTGGAAGCTCCAATACTACGGCCAATGATGCAGAGAACTGACTCATTGGAAAAGACCCTGATGCTGGGAAAGATTGAAGGCAGGAGAAGAAGGGGATGACAGAGGATGAGATGGTTGGATGGCATCACTGACTTGATGGATGTGAGTTTGAGCAAGCTCCAGGAGTTAGTGATGGGCAGGGAAGCCTGGTGTGCTACAGGCCATGGGTCACAAAGAGTCGGACATCACTGAGCAACTGAACTGCACTCACTGACTCTGGTGAATGCAGTGGTAGTCTCTCGCCTGGTCCTTCTTGTGGCATTTCTAAAAGAGAGCCTGCAAAGATCCACCTTATCAACTATCAGGTAAAATAAAATAACATATTCTAGAGGAAATAATACCCTCAGCACTTAAAAAACAAAAGCTGCCAGAAAGTGTAGAGTCTGCTCTTTACAGAGGAAAGCACAGTGAAACACGGTGCATTTGTAATAGATGTTCTGTTCTCCTGCGCAGAAGTGCTTGCTACACTGCCTGTCACACTAACAAAATATCAGAATGCTTTAGTAAGACATGTACAAAGTCTCAAACAGATACATTAAGTGCAAAAGAAGCTGATATTTATTCAAACATGGGTGTTTCAGTATTCACTTACATAACAAATTGCAATCCATAGGCCTTAGCTTCTGCAAAAATTTCCCAGTCAATAATGTGTTAACAGGCTCAAGAGCACATCCCTGAACACCCAGCTATACACCCAGGTCCAGAGCAGAGGGAGCAGGCAGAATCACCCCCCTCCCATTTCTCCTTAGAAGACACCTATCTGCATACTTTCCTAGCTGCTGCTGCCTGAGGGTTCAGCTTCTAACCAGCCCTCCTGTAGGTGCTGACTGTGGTCCCTGCCTTTGAACACTGCCAAGTGGGCACACCTTCAACCACCAGGATGTGCTAGGAACACAGGTGGTGGATTGGACAATTACAAAGGTTATAGAAGTGTGAGCCAGCCTGATCAATAAGGTTACTCTCCTACACAAACCACTCAAGCAAGGCTAGGAGAGGAGGCTGCTTTATCTAAGCCACAGAAACAAACTCAGAGTCAAGGAAAATGAAGAAACAGAGGAATATGTTCCAAACTAGAGAACAAGATAAAACTCCAGAAACAGGTCTTAATAAAACAGAGATTAGTAAGTCGTCAGAGAGTTCAGTTAATAGGCACAAAGATACTCACTATGGTCAGGAGCATCAGTGCTCTGTCATCACTTTCATGAACAAAAAATTTCAACAAAGAGAAAGAAAATATTAAGAAGTACCAATCAGATCACAAGGCAGAGAATATAATTAACTGAACTTAAAAAAAATAGAGGGTTCAACAGCAAACTAGATCAATCATAAGAAAAGATCCATGAACTTGAGATAGAACAGTAAATCATAGGCACAAAGGACAGAAGCTCAAGAGAATGTAAGGGACTTATGGGACACTATCAAACAGACCAACACACACACTCAGAAGGGAACAAGACGGCAAAAAGAGGGAGAAAGGGAAAGAAAGCTAATTTAAAGACATAATGGCTGAAACTTCCCTAACCTGGAGAAAGAAACAGATGTCCAGATCCAGGAAGCTCAGATTTTCAAAAAGGATGAATACAAAAACAGACTCATACTGAGACACATTATAATTATCAGAAAAGACAAGGAGAAAAATCTTAAAAGCAGCAAGAGAAAAACAACTTGGTACATACAAGGGAACTCACATAAAATTATCAGTAGATTTTTTTTTTTTTTTTTTTTTTTAGCAGCTTTGCAGGCCAGAAGAGACTGGGGTGTGTATTCAAACTCCTGAAAGAAAAAAACACCTACCAATCAAGAATAATCTACCCAGCAAAGTTGTCCTTCAGAAGTAAAGGAGAACTTATTACATATACAAAACCCTAAAGACTCAACCAGAAAAAGTATTAGAACTAATAAACAAATTCAGTAAAGTTGCAGAATACAAAACCTATACACAAAATCAACTGCATTTAAATTGTCCCTCAGGGTTGCAGAGTGAGTTTTTCAGATAAGCAAAAATTGAAGGAGTTCAGCACCAACAGACTGACCCTATAAGAAATGTAAAAAAGACTTCTTTAAGCTGAAAAAAATGGTACTAATTAGTAGCAGGAAAACATATGCATAAATCTTACTGATAAATATATAATCAAAGTCAGAATAATATAATGCTGTAATAGTGCTGGGTTAATCATTTATAAAGCCAGTATAAAGGTTAAAAAGAAAAATAGTAAAAAAAAAAAATACCCACTATAACTACAATAATTTGTTAAAGGATACTAAAGAAAAAAATGATGCAAATATGACATCAAAAACATGAAATGTGATGGGAGGAGATGGTAAAAATACAGAATTTTAGAATCATTCAAACTTAGGTTGTTATCAGCTTATAATAGACTGTTATAACTCTTAGATGTTGTATGTAGGCCTCATGGTAACCATAAAGCAAAACCCTATAGAAGACACACAAAAGATAAAGAAATCTATGCATACCACTCAGAAAGATCATCAAATCATAAAGGAAGAGAACAAGCAAAGAAGAAAGGAACAGAGGAATTACAAAACAGCCAGAAAACAATTAACAAAATGTCAATAAATTCATATTAGTAAAAGCAGAGATGTC